GTGAAAATCTCTCCAAAAAAAAAAAAAAAAAGACTTTTTTGTCATGGAGTGCGCGCTCTTGCCAGAGAGACAGAGGGAAAGTGAGAAATCATTCCCCAGGAGAGGTGGTCACACTGCAATCTCTTCTCCTCCATTCTCCTCTTGGGATTTTAGGCATGTACACACATGTACCTGGCATGATTTTCAAGCCAACAGGTCCAGGACTAGAACTGCACTCAGCCATGTGGGAATCCAGAGCCTTTGGCCACCATGCCAAATGCTGCTCCCCACATGCATTTAAACATACCAAGAAGACTAATCGCAAAATATTTTCCCCTACTCCAACTGTTCAAATCTAACCGAGGTAGCCCAAGGAATATCCCTCCTTCAGTAAATAATTCTACACAAAGACTCTGTTTTTCTGACCCTTGGGTGAATTTAATTACTTGAGCTTACGACAGTGACGTGATAGACCTCTGTATGCGGTGCTGGTAGATAAAATTTTCCCTGATCATTCTAAATAGGAGTAATAGAATTTTTTTTTTTTTTTTACTCTTCATTCTACCCTTCAAAAGGTAGAACTGGCTGTATCTGATGAATCGATGGGTATATACACCGTGTACCTTCAGTACAATAAAGGGCTATTAGAAGCATGTAACTGCATGGTCTTTGTCCTTGAGAAACTTCTTCTTTTATGGGAGAACCAATTAATAAATAAAAAAAAATTGGAACAAGGCATATAGGGAACACGATGATAAATAGGACACGATTTCCTATCTTGAGGAGCTCCAAAGGACAGAGGTTGACATTTATATAATTACCAACTTCTTGCCATTTCTCCTACCTAGAAAGGATCTGAAGCTTGATTGACTCATCAGAACAGAATGTTTGCTTCCAAGAGTGGGTATTATTTTAAACGTGCACCCAAAACTCTACCGTTTCTCACAGAATGCAGTCAGTATTCATAGCCTGCATACTGCAAAACAGGAACTGTCCCCGCTACAGAAATATATCCAGACTTCTTGTGACAAGTTGGAGAGCTTAGTGGTGACATCATTTGCTAACAATAGATGCACTTAAAATTAATGACCGTCTCCACATCTCCTGGTGCTTTAATTTAAAACACACTCTAGCAGTACAGAGAATACAAGTCACAAGCAATATGGACAACGTGTTCCCAAGAAGCAGGCAGGGATAGCACTCTGCCTCCTTGACTAGGAAAACAAAAAAAGACTAAATGAACCCTCACAACATAAGACCGTAGGAGAATCAGAAGTAGCTCACAGCAGGGAAAATTTGGGGCAAGACTGAAACAGAAATTCTCCTCCTCCAGACCCACAGGTGTCTCCTGGAAGTGTCTCTCCTCTCAGATGGAAAAAATGTGCATACCTCCACCACCTTCCCCCATGTTAACTCTTTCAGGGTCTCCCTGCTGTTCACAGAATAATATCTGAATTCCTTAGCTTGCTTTACATGGTCCTTCAATCTGGCTTGCTCTTCAGTATGAGTCTTTAAAGAGGGTCATGGTTGGTGTTTTATTGAGTTCTTTGTCTTAAGTCTAAGGCATAGTAGGTGTTTGATAAGGGTTTGTTTGTTGAATGGGTGAAACCATCCAGATGAGAACCAGTTACTCAGTCCTCGGTTTGATATAATCATTCATACTAAGTATTAGGTCTCCTTCTAAGAAAGTATGATTTGCATTTTTTTTTTTTGGAGAGGTTTTTTGCTATAGGGCGTGTGTGCTTGCCAGAAAGAGAGACAGAGAGAAAGTGAGAAATCACTCCCCCGGGGGGATGGCCATGCTGCAATCCCTTCTCCTCCGTTCTCCTCTCGGAATCTTGGGCATGCACGCACACGCGCCCAGTGTGAGTTTAAGCCACTGACCGGGTCCAGGACTCAAACCGCAGTCGACTACATGAGAATCCAACAACATAGCCATTACACCAACTGCTGGTCCCAAGAAAGTATGCTTTGCAATTTAAAAGAAATCTATAGGAAAGTAAAATCACAATGAGACGCTACTCTTGCACCCACTGCAATGTCTAACATTTCAAAGACTGACAAATACCTAGTGTTGATGAGGACGTGGAACAACTGAAGCTCTCATACATTGCAAGTGGGAATGTAAAATGGTGCAACCATGTTGGAGAACTGTTGGGCAGTTTCTTAGAAAGTTAAACATATGACCTAGGAATCTCACTTCTAGGTAAGTGAGAAATGAAAACACTCGTCCATAAAATGACTTGTACGCAAGTCTTTATATCACTTTTAGTCACAGTAGTCTGAAACTAGACATAATCGGGACAGCAGTTAGCGTAATGGCTATGTTGCTGGACTCCAACGTAGTCAACCGTGGTTCGAATCCTGGACCCGGTGGCTTAAACTCACGCTGGGTGCGTGTGCGTGTGTGCCCAAGATCCTGAGAGGAGAATGGAGGAGAAGGGATTGCGGCGTGGCCATCCCCCCTGGGGGGCGATTTCTCGCTTTCTGTCTCTCTGTTTCTCTGTCTTTCTGGCAAGCACACACACCCTATAGCAAAAACCTCTCAAAAAAAAAAAAAGCTAGACATAATCTAAAAGCCTATCAACAGGTAACTGAATAGGGTGCAGATGGTGTGGCACAGTGGTAATGCAACTGGACCCACATGGGAAAGGTCCTGGGTTCATATCCTGGGACCTCCCTGAGCATGTGTGCATGTACACGCACCCATGAACAGAGCTGGCTGACAACAGGGGTGGATCATGGCGAAGACCCTGTTGGGAGTGCTTGTGTGTGTGTGTGTGTGTGTCTCCCTCTTTCTCTGTCTTTCTCATAGAGACAAATACATAAACTTAAAAAAATCCAAACAGATAACTAGATAAATGAATTGTGTGCCTTCATACAATGGAATATGATTAACTGATTTTTGTCACACTACGGATGAATCTCACAAACGCAATGCTGAAAGAATCACTTGATTTAATTGATACAAAGTTCTAGAACAGGCAAAATGAATTTATATTTCAGAAAACACACTAGTGGTAAAGCTATTGGATGATGAAGATGGGGATTTTAATGTCTCTGTATTGACTGATATGCATGGTCTTCCTTCTGGAAAAAGAAATGTAATACACTGTAAAGTTATATGTGATTCAATGTAACAGAAACAAGATTATGATGATAATACAAATTTTAAAAAAAAGAAAGCAGATTAGTGGTTGCCTGGATTTGCAGATGGGGAGAGGAATGACATTAGGGGCTTGAAGAAACTTCAGGGTAGAAATATTGCAAATCTTGGTTACATAGATGTATACATTGATCATGGGTACTTTTTATATATGTCAGTCAACTTGATTTAAAAGAAGGCTTAGAGAGAGACTATACTCCAAAACAGAACAAATGCCCTCCTGTCGAGATTCAGGCACTGTCAGGGACCAGCAGTTGGCGCAACGGCTATGTCGCTGGACTCCCATGTAGTTGACTGCAGTTCGAGTCCCAGACCCAGTGGCATAAACTCACGCCGGGTGCATGTGCATGAATGCCCAAGATCCCGAGAGGAGAATGGAGGTGAAGGGATTGCGGCGTGGCCATCCCCCCGGGGGGTGATTTCTCACTTTCTGTCTCTCTCTTTCTGGTGAGTGCAGACGCCCTATAGCAAAAACCTCTCCCCCCACCAAAAAATTCAGGCACTGTCTAGACCTTCTATGGTATAGTCATTTTTTAAAAGATTGAATAGAATATTATTTGGCCTTGAA